GTCTGTTTTAGTCTAGAAGCTCCGCTGAAACCTGTCCACCATGAGTGGTATTTGAAATAGTGGCAGCATAGCCTCCAGCCTCACAGCAACGTACAAGCCACCACAGAGTGACAAACTGACAGATGAGTGTTGGTTATTTACTTGGTTAATGTCTGCTTATAACATTTAATTGTAAGCTCCATGAGAAAATGCGGTATGTCTGTGTCTCTGTGCAACGTTATACGATCAGTTTTGTGCAGATAATAAACAGTCAACATATATTTGTTCAATAGATAGCTAAATTCACCACCAACCAGCATAATACAAGTGTCACGTGTCTAGACTTCAACTAGACCTAAATCTTTTCTTTGGTCTCTACTCGGAAGTATAGTCCCCATGACAGAAAAGACATATGATAAAACCTCTTAAATATATATAATATCGTGCTTACTTAGGCAGAAAATACTCTTTTTAATAGAAGAATGATGTCCATATTCCCTGAAGAACACTTAATACTTGTTCTATGTAAAGGTTAAAATTTACTTTTTATATATGGTCAAGTAGTTGGAAATTAATATTCTCCCAAGTCATTGAAATGTTAAATTGGGTAACCCTCTAAAACATTTCACATTTTTCCTTGCATCGAGCAGGATTGAGAAATGATGCAAATTCCCTGAAATATTAATATTTTTGACGTGTGTTGTACCTGGGGGCTCACGTACCCATAGCTAAAGTCCTGCCTCCCTTTTTCTGAGGACTGTACTTAAACATCAACAGGCAAGTTAGTTGTGGTTTGAAAATACATTTTCAATATAGGAAACATGCCATGCACACATACACACACACACATGAAAAACTCCTTGCAATTGTATAACGGAACAATGGTTGACATATCGTACCTTCTTCTTACTCTCGCTTATTCCTGTGCTCATCCGTTTCTTACATTCTTTTGTACTCAGTTGGACATTCCTCCTCCTCAGTTTTGCTGTCCAATGTGTGTAACAGAGGTGTCTTTTTATCACCTGCACCATCAGTCCACTTCATTTCTGTTCTGTCTGATACTCACATCTCCATTCTCTGGTGTACTCAATTTGATTTATCAATAAGAAACCTTTCCGGATTCCATTTTTGTTCTGTTGCAGTTACTTTTATTTGGGAGGAAATAAGTGAAAAGTTTCAGAAACTGAAGTTATATATAAATCAAGAAACAGTATTTGTTCATATAAATACTGAAATACTTATAGGAGTGTCTTTCTTTTGAGGAGCCCTTAGTTGCAGAAACAGTTAAGTGCTCAACTACTAGCCAAAAAGTTGGGCAGTTCAAACCCACTCAGAGGCTCTGTGGAAGGTAGGCCTGGTGATTTGCTTCTGAAAGGTCGCTGCCTTGAGAACCCTAGCGAGCCCAGCTATATTCTGACACACATGGGTTTCCATGAGTTGGAATCAACTAGACAGCAACTAACAAGAACAGCTTTCTTGGAGAAAGCAAATGTCACTTGAGTGCATGTTCTTATTACCCACAGGCTGTGTTTCTCAGCTCCTTACTATGAAAATACCAAGCTTCTCCTGGTATAAAAAGTGCACAGTAGACCTCGGTGGAGTATTCCCCACCCCTAGTTCTTGGATTTAATTACGTTGACCAGAGATGGGTTGTTTCACATGGCTGAGACAATCATCAAGTAAGATGCTACCTACCCCAGAGACCAATTGAGAGGATACCCTGACACATCCTGTGTGAAGACCTCTCCTTATCACCTCATCTCCTTTCCTCTCTCCCATTCAGTGTTTACTACACATGCTCATATGTGGTGTACCCTCTTTGTTGCTTGTTACAGAACCTTTATATTTGTGTTTCCTTGGTTTAAGGAGAAGTTCAAAGTTTTCAGTTGCTATGTTGGGGGAATTTTGCATTACTACTCTCGGCAGTCCAGAGGATAACGATGACAACTACTTCACAGGACACCTTCCAGTGCCTGGCATTCTGCTAACTCGACTTGCATTATTCTCAAATCTCTTTATCTATTTAATCCTCCCTGTGACACAGGGGAATTAGATAATGTTATCCTATAGAGTTAGGCTCAATAGTATAAGTTACTTGCACCAAATTACACAGCCAGTATGGAGGAAAACTGAATTTTTATTTAAGGCCCTCTTGACAGCAAAGGCAAGGCCCCTTCTTTTGTAAGGCTATGGCATGGACCTTAAAAACCAAAAGACCCTGGAATATTAGATGTACTAATAATGTGTAGACAAATAATATAGCAAAAGAAGAGTTTTGGATCCACTTAGGAAGGAAGGAAGGTAAGGAACCAAATGAGAAATGAGTGATATGCAAGCAATAACTTCTTTATGTTTTATATAGTTTTATTGTGAAAATATATACATAACACCACATTTGCCAATTTAACATTTTTAGGTGTACAATTTAGTGATAGCAATTATATTAATCATGTTGTGCAACTGTCACCCATAATTGTTGTCATATACGCAGAAGCCTGCTGCTTGCTAAACGCTGGTTTTCCTTCCCCTCCCCCCACCCCTGAGAACCACTAGTAGTCTTTGGTCTCTGTGCACTTACCTATAGTCGCTATTTCATACAAGTGAGATCATACAATATTTGTCCTTTTGTGATTGACTTATTTCGATGAGCATCACATTGTCAAGGTTCATCCTTGCCATGGCTTATATCAGGATGTCTCTTTGCGGCTGAGTACTCATCCATCATGTGTATGCACACACTTTTTTAATCCATTAATCCATTGTTAGGCGTTTAGGTCTTTTCCACCTTTTGAATATTGTGAATAGTACTACAACAGACATTGGTGTGCGTGTGTCTGTGTGAATTGATGCTTTCAAGTCTCTAGGGTACACACTGAGGAGTGGGATCGCTGGGTTTTCTGGTGGCTCTGTGTTTAACTTTGTGAGGAGCTGTGCAAGCAGTAGCCTGTGAAGTACATATTTCCCCTTTGGGTAAGATCCTAAATGTAGTAAATAACAGCAAAAGAGGGACTAGGCACACAGTGGCCATGACAACATAAGCAGGTGGCCTGAACAGTTCATTTCTGAACTGTAGGCTGTCGGTATAGCTTATGAGGGGGGTAATGCCAGGGTCAAATATGTCAGGAAAGAAGAGTGCCACACAGTAAACAATTTGTTTCAAAACTGTCTCCAAAAGCATCCAATAAAAAGTTCTTCATCTGTCGCATTTCTCTTGATGGAAATGCAGACAGAGATTGCCTCCGACCACAGAATTTCCCTGAAGACAAATTGGTTCTATTTAAAATTAAATTAGTACTTAGCATTTTGGTTTTACAATTTTGCAATGTTTATTAATGTCCTTCATAGGTTTATATTTTTACTTTTCAAATGTATTCTAAATGCCAAATAAAAACATTTTAAATATAAGTATACTACTTTTTCAAGCCCGTCTGAAAAATATGGTGAAAAACATTACTCTCAGCATATTTTTCAGACGAGCTTGAAAACGTAGTATACTTGTATGTAAAATTGCACATAACAACAACAACAACAACGTTTTCCAAACAATCATAAATTCAGGTTATCTTTGGGCCTTTTAGACCTCTCAGGGGAAAAAAAAAAAAGTCAAAGGGATAAAAAAAAATTCTCTAAATATATTGTATTAATAGCCGGAAAATGAAATACAATTTATTTCATTATATATTTTTTGTGGGCACTCTGGTGGCATAGTGCCTAAGGCATTTGACTGCTAACCAGAAGGCTGGCGGTTCAAACCCACCAGCCACTCCTGGGGAGGAGGATGGGGCAATCTACTTCCGTAGTGATACCACCTTGGAAGCTGAAGGAGGGGTGGCTGTGAGTCAGGATTGACTTGTTGACAGTGAGTTTTCTTTTTCTTTTTTTGATTCCAAAATTTAAGAACCCTACTTCCACCACATGTTAAAGGAACCATGATGATGTCAAATGTGTTCCCAAGTGAGGTAGCATTTAGTCACTCATAACTAGTACGGCATCCTTGTTGGTATTTATTATTATAAAAATACACAAAGGAGCTCTGGTGGTGTAGTGCTTAAGGCATTTGGCTGCTAAGAAAAAGTCGGTGGTTCCAACCCACTAGTCACTCTGTGGAGGAAAGATGAGGTGGTCTGTTTCTGTAAAGATTTACCACATTGGAAAGCCAGTGAGGGTTGCTATGAGTTGGAATCAACTTGATGGTTGTGAGTTTATTAAAAACACAGAGCATACTCAGCTTACTTAAGCTCTAAGAATATCCAGTTTAGTTGTTCTCCTTTGCTTCACCACGCAGCCTCGTGCCTCCCAATTTAATTATTACTTTAGATAAGGGAAGAAACGTTGCTAACGTTAATGGGATGATGAGTGTCTTAAATCCATCTTTGCCTAGTGCTGACAAACTCTCACAACCTGTGCTTCCACACGAGTACAATTCATAAAGACCACTTTCAGTATTTCATCCATGAAAGTGGGACTCAATTCATTACGGAGAGGCTTTTAATCTTTGTATATCCAGCCCAATGTGCTGGGTTTTGTATAACAGCTGAGTTTCACAGACAAGAAAACTGGGTAGTTCTTCAAAGAACCCAATAAAACGTTGTAATCCATTTCCTTCTGAAAGTGCAGTTGTTAAGTCAGGCAAAACATTCATGAATGCCACTTTGTCTTTCCTGCAATTAAGGACTTCAGAAAACTGCCTTTTGCGTGTCCTGACTCTGAAAGTATTATATTTATCATGAACCAGGCCTGCTTTTTTGCTCTCAGATATTTTGGGGTGTTAGCGCTAAGGGAGACATTAAGTCTGAACAGGTGTGGAAAGGGGTTTCTTGATGTAGAAAAGTGTCTATTTTAAAGTGAGTTGAGCCATTTTTAATCACCGACTGGTGTGAATTCCAGAACAAAAGCTGGTGACCAACTGGTTTCCCTTCAGAGGCAAGAAGCTCCGAGTCAACAGTCGAGGCTTCATTGCAGGTGAGGAGCGTCAGTGGATGGTTGACTGACACTTTCTCCTTCCTGTCTCTTCATTTCAGTGTTGATTCTCCTCATTGTCACTATGAGAAGACGGAAAAAAGAGCCCCTCATTTTCGACGAGGAGAGGGACATCAGAGAAAACATCGTCCGATACGACGACGAGGGCGGCGGGGAGGAAGACACGGAAGCGTTTGACATGGCCGCCCTGAGAAACCTCAACGTCATCCGGGACACCAAGACCCGCAGAGACGTGACTCCGGAAATTCAGTTCCTGAGCCGACCCACGTTGAAGAGCATCCCGGATAACGTCATCTTCCGGGAGTTTATTTGGGAGAGACTGAAAGAAGCCGACGTGGATCCCGGAGCGCCCCCGTATGACTCTTTGCAGACATATGCCTTTGAAGGAAATGGCTCGGTGGCCGAGTCCCTCAGCTCTTTGGATTCCATCAGCTCAAACTCTGATCAGAATTACGATTACCTCAGTGACTGGGGGCCTCGCTTCAAACGGCTGGCCGACATGTATGGAACTGGCCAGGAGAGTTTGTACTCATAGCCTTGGAACCTGCCTTTGATGTACTGATGGCAAAGTACAAGTAAAAGCAAAAAAACACTACACCCAGAAAAGGAGAGCTCCAGTTGCTGGAGGGAAACAGTGGCTGTATATAGGTCTCCATTTTTAATGTTTAGGGTTCTGCCTTGGTGAAGCATGTCTTCATTAGACTTGTCCAAGGGACTGCACTGACCCAGACTCTGAGCATCTGAAGGCTTTTTGATAAAAATAAATGCTCAGTGGTTTGTGAATAGATAGCAACTCCCCTGTACCTGCCAAGGCACCTAAGCTCTGTGAGTGAGTAGTGCCTGTATGGTCAGTGAGCCGAGGCCTGCACTTACCTTCATGGTACTGCAGTGAGAGGAGAGAACGTGACCTGCCACTGAATTCCTGGGACTTCTTCCAAATCAAAACATGGCAGAAAGCTAACTTACAGTGATGCTTTAACTTGCAAGCTTGTAGAACCCAGCAGCACTTCATTGGTGTTGGTTACTAGGTTCATTGTATTTAAGAATATATCAGTTCTTTGGCAATCTTCCCCAAGTGAGCCCACCGCAATATAAAGCCAATACAATTCGGTTTCATGGTTTAAGGCAACATAAACTATTATTTACCAAGTATAGTATGAAATGTTCCAAGTAAGGAAAAGGCAAATAATTCTGAATGTTTGCAATAGTTTTGAGTTGCTTGTGTAGGTATGAAAAAAGTTGCTGTCTATTCATTAGTTTTTAATTATCTCTTCTGATTTGTACAGGAGAATTTTTTTTTTTCTTTGACACATGGTGTATTTATTTTGGAGCTCCAGTCTCCACTAAATTCAGGTCCATCTTACTGCCTCATAGTAATAAATTCAGAACATGCTGATTTTTCTCCAGTCTGAGCTACATGAAGGAAATGAAGTGTGGAAATGGAGAAATAATAGTGAAGCAATTGAGCCCCATCGCAGGTCACGTCTCAGAGAGGGAGGAGCACAGCTACAAGGACACAGGTTCTCCTGAGCCATTAGAGTGGACACAACAGCAGAATAAAACATTTGGACTTGATATTTTAGAAAGAAGACTTCAGAGAGAATGGAGGTTCTCTTTGATGCAACATTTATTTTTCAAGGTCACATGTTCTGTATGCTCCAAAGACTTTAGAAAATATACCCCCCAACCTCTTTTACTAAACACGTTCAGTCAAAGACTGAAATTTCCTTTATATCTTAAACAACATCACGTTACATGTCTCAAAACCAGTATTTGAAGTCTGATGCAAATATGTCCCTCAGTAACTAACCAAGTAATGTGTCCTTTCTGTAACCGGTTTAGATGTGCCACACAGTAAGGAGGGCAATTTCAAATAAGGCCATCAGTTCCAAGTGGGATTCTTTGAGTAAGACTTTCATGATTGAGAAACAGTATTTCTACCTATCATTTTTCCCTAGACTAATACTAGTTTAATGTGCATATAATCAAATAAGGAGGAATTTATTTTTTCTTTCTTTCCCCTTTTAAAGAAGAGCTGTCATTGGGTTCCTCATAAGCCTGCACTTTGTGGGTGCTGTGGTGGGAATTGTGTTTGGAAAGTGCTTCTTTCTGAAAGCAGACACTGGACTCGAGGACCCTGTGTGGACTGCCCGAGAGAAAACTATGGAGGAGTCTGTACACTGCAGCGACCTGTACAAAGGAAGTCTGTGAAAGTGGCCTTCAGTTTCGTCGGAGAAATTAGTCAGTACACTTAATTATCTGCAAAGTCCTTTAGTTTGATTGAAGTTTTATAGACTTTTTTTCATGACTAGATACTTATGCTTCCTGCTGTATTAATATATAAGTATATATATATGTATACATATATATATATATATATGAAAAGCAATTTTGTAACACAGTAAAAAGGCTCTGCTCTTGATTTTCAGCCAAAAAGTGTAAGTTTTTTTTTTTTCCAGTGAAAAAAGTATGTATATTATGCTTACCCAGTTCAATAAAAGCAGAATATACTGCAGGAATTACATCGATGTGAAATCAGCAAGGTGGTGAGGAAAGAGTTTTATTTAACAATCATTCCCTTGTTGTCTGCAAGATAAAATAGGTCAGTACCTTTGGGCCATGATGTCAGAACTGCTGATTGGTGCCCATATCACCAAAAGGAGCTTTGAAAGTTTTGTGGAAAATGAGCAGCACTCACTCTGCTTTCTCTCCTTTTAAAGTGTCTGCCTGTCTTCCTTTGATCATTCCCCTTTGCCAGGAATCATTTGGAATAAGAAAGGCACTGATTTAAATAATGGTCAAATTTCTTGTATTTACCCTATTGTTTTTCACCTGCAGGAGATTATGTTAGTGGAGTATTGAACATGATTTAATGGTATTTTTAACTCTTTCAAGACCAATTTATTCTCTGCTTTGAATTTGTTGTTAAAACCGTGTGTTTTTTTGGTGAAACCATGAAACATTTTGAATGAAATATGAAAAAATATATATATTTTTGAGGTAATAGGGATTTTGGTACACTTAATGGGACACATATGTCCTGACGGGTCTTGTACTAAGGTTGATGAGATGAGGCTGTTTCTTCATATTCACACAGTTATACAAGCCCCCATCAGATGGCAGCATGCACTGAAAATGGGATAAAAGTATCCCATTAAACTTCAAGGGCAGAAAATGTAAGCAGGCCCAATATGTCCCTCGGGTCATGAAAGCACTAAGAAATGTCTGATATTACTGGAGGAAAGTACCTAGTAGAAACAGAATTACATGATGGTAGAGAATCTGTTGTTTTTGATTCTAGTTTTCTATTACTCTTTTCTAGTTTAGTTTTCTTCTCTATGTCAATATCTCATGTGATATTTGAGAAAATAGGCTGTTGTTTTTGAACTCAGAGACTGGGAATGTTGATTAATAAAATCAATTTTAAAGCTAGTTAGGAGGAATCTCCAGAAACATTTAATATGTGTCATCTAACCCAGGGAGGGGTGGCTATGAGTCGGATCTGACTCTACTGCAGTGAGTCAGTGCATAGTGCCTAAGGCACTTGACTGCTAACCAGAAGGCTGGAGGTTCAAACCCACCAGCCACCCCTCTGAAGGATGGTCGGGCAATCTGTTTCAGTAGTGATACTGCCTCGGAAACACAAGGAGGGGTCACTATGAGTTGGGTCTGACTCAACGGCAGCGAGAGTTTGAGTCCTTTAAATGAACTGCAAACAGTAAGTTGTTTAGCTGCTAACTGAGAGGCTGGAGGTGTCTATCCAAATGTGCCTCAGAAGAAAGACCTGGTGATCTACTTCCAAAATCAGTGAGTGAGAACCCTACAGGGCATGATTCTCCTCTGACACACATGGGGTTGCCATGAGTTGGAGTTGCCAGTAATTAGTTTTTTTGGAGTCAGTTAAATTCAATGGTGCACTGGAGATAGCCGGAAAAGCAGTTAAACACTTCCTGGCACTCTCCTGCTTAAATTCTCTTACCACGGGAAACCTCATGATTATGAATGTAATATGAATGAATAGTACATCAAGGGATGATACAAAAGGAATGTTTGCTACATCCAACTCCAGAGTATAAATGAATGTGGTGAGGATTTATGGATTATCGGTCCTTGGAGTTTCACATAGAGAGAAGAGCCACACTGTTTTATGGGAAACAACGTATGACTAGTTGCAAGTGCAGACAATAGTTCAGGTAGACAGTGAATTTACATATTTTCTGTTCATCCCTACTGGGGCACCAATGGAATATCCGACAAACCGAAACAGCAATAAAAACTCAGTTGCCCAAAGTAATGACTAATTTTGAACAGTTTAAACTAATTGCTTTGCATTTTGCTTGTTACTGTCCCTGTGAAGGAAAGACACTCCAACCCTCTGTTCTGAATTGCAAATGCTGAATAATTTTAAATCAAATTATTAAGAAAATGGATTTCTGCAGATCCAGCCTAAATGATCAGTGTGGATTCACAGGTCAAGCTCAGGGGTGAAATAGTATTCCAAGGTCAGCTTCAGAGCATCATCAGGAAAGAGTATGAGAAATGATTACCCAGGCGGAGGGAATGAGTAGATCTTTCTGTAGGTAATGAGTAGATGCGGCTGGTAGCCTGCCCGTGTTCCAGGAGGCTCAGCTGTGGCTAACTGCAGCCCGCATGGGGGACTGCAAGCCCAGGAAGCAAGTACTCATGTCTGGTCATGACAGCTGCCTCTTTCCCTCTGCCCTCTGAGATGTTTTAAATTATTTTAACTTCATGCACAATTACTTTTACTACATTGGATGGTGAGTGGTCTTAAGCCATTATTTTTGTGTAAAATGCGTAGGTGCACAAGGAGTGAGTGATACTGATGCCATGATCCACGTGCCCAAAGAAACATAAATCCAAAGCGAGTGCTAGCAGCTATGTGCAAAAATAGAATCCAAATGAGCTTAAAAGCTAAATACCTGGCAAGAGCCAAGAAAACAGTAAAATTGAAGATTTTCCAGTTTTAAGCACTGGCTGTAAATACTAGCCTTTTAACATTTCGATTTTAATTTGACATTGATTGACATAGAAAATGTTACAATGACCCCAATTACTTTTAAACCTCTATTTACAGATTTATTTACAGTTGATGTAATTAAAGCTGATTAAAATGAAGCTTCAACTTAGTCTAACTCTTGTTCAAGATGCGTGGGGAAAGGTAGAGTGTACATGACAATTAATAAGCCAATTGATCTCCCTTTAGTCTGTATCTCTATTTGATATTATGTCATCATTTTATAATTATTAGTAATGTATATGTGTGTATGTGTGTATGATTATATCTACAATTTTGCCAAGGGCAGCAAAAACCGAAAAGTTAGCTGCCAGCATCCTGGTAATAATTAAGAACAGAAAGGTAAATAGCCTTTGCATTTTGAATATGCTTGAAATTGTTTCGAGGAAGTGAGATATTATCCTTATGTACAATGGAAGACTATGTGAGGTTGTGATTTGGTTGACACTGTAACCTGAAATTCGGGGGGTAAATTTTCAAGCAAAAACTAGCCACCGATGAAATGTATGACGTTCTGACATTGTTTCTTAGCTGTGCTAACTTTTACT